TAAAAAAGAAATAAAGGAAGAGAAAGGGCTGGGGGTAGAGCTCAGCCCTCCTGAGGTTCAATTACTATGTAGTGCCAGGAAAAAGAAAACTTTCTTTAAAAAAAAAAACAGATGGTAATCTTATTTTTCTTGCCTGTAAAATGGGAAGACATTGAGCATCCCTTATGGTGTGATTTTTAAGGTTGTTACAAGAAGTAAATGGGTGATGTGGCTAAAGCACCAGCCTCTCTAATAGACACAGCTTTAGGCTTGATACAAGTTACCGCTGGTTACATCAGCAGCAGCAGCACCATCTTCCCTCGGTATCAAGGGGGGATGAAGCCCAAGAACCCCTGCAGAGACCCAAATTGACAAATGCTCAGGTCCTTCTTATGACATTTTCATAGACCCTATTCAATATTCCCCCAGACTTTAAATCATCTCTAGATGACTTATAATACCTACTGCGGTATAAATGCTAAGTAAATAACTGTTACCCCACATTATTTAGGAAATAATGGCCAGGGGAAATGTCCCGTTCAGTACAGACACATTCTCCCCAGCTGTTCTGCACCCAGGGTCGGTAGAGCACGCAGACGAGGAAAGTGAGAGCCAGCTGTGTGATGAGCAAGTCACCACGGTTATCTCCACTCCTGCTTTCGATCACAGGGCTGCAACTCAGCGGGAGGAAGCAATCCCCGAGGCAGACAATTATCCAGAGCCGACAAAGACCAGCCAGCTGGCAGGGCACGGGGGAGGACAGGAAGGGCCCGTTTCCTGGGCAGGGGCAGCATCTGCAATCAGCCTTTTCATTCATAAGAAGAGTCAAGAAACCCTCAGTTAAAAAAAAAACAAAACAACCTTCCCAAGCGCTTAAACTTCCAGCCCAGACAATGAGTAGAAAAATTATCCAACGTTTGCAAACAAAGCTGACTGCAAGATGTTTCAATCGTGCTCTGCACACCGTCTGATTCCGATCACAGGACACCCCGGAAAAGGCGAAACTACCATGAGGATGGAGCTGTGCAGTCCAGGGGTCACCAGAACTAGGACAGGAGTGTGGACAGCAAAGGGGCAGGGAAAGGGCGAGGAGAATATAGATCTATGTATGGGGAAGAGCTGGGCCACATGGAATTTCCAGTTTTAGTTTTTTGTGGAATCGGCACACTGACTTCCACAGTGGTTGTGCTCAAGGTTACACGACTGTTTCTCTCCAAATTCACGGCACTGGTGGTGACGAGAAGCCAGGGGCCACGGGAGGGAGGGAGGGAGGAGGAAGGGCAAACATACAGTCAGACAGGAGCAAGAAGTCCCAGTGCCTGATGGCCAACGACAGACGAGGACAACCGTGAGACCTTTCAGAAAGCTAGGAGCAGAGACTGTGAAAGTTCCCACCCTCGGGGAATGACCAGTGTTTGAGGAGATAGATAAGTAAAGTTTTTGTTACTGTGTCTATTTTGCAGGGGCAGAGAGCAAATTCATACACTTTAGGTAAGGACTCTACTCTGAGCTACAGCCCCAGCCTGAGGACAAAGATAAATAGGTTGGCCATGATTTAAACATTACATAATGTACCTGTGGACCAAAATGTTATACGGTACACTATCACCACAAACAATTTTTATGTTTTTGTGTGTCCTTTAAAAATAAATTTTTTTAAAAATCACAGAACTTTACACCCAAAAGGCTGAATTCTACTATACATAAATTATACTCTAAAATGACTTAAACAGCCAGGCATGATGGCACACACCTGTCATCCCAGCACTCGGGAGGCTGAGGCAGGAGGATCACCCCGAGTTCAAGGCCAGCCTGGGCTACATAGTGAGACCCTGTCTCAATCAACCAATCAATAAACAAACAAACATTGGCTTACCCATAAAAGGATAAATGGGATATGCATCATTTTGAAGTGACACAGGAATGTCCCCAATTTGATTTTTTTTAACTATGATCAGTGATACTTTATTACCCCAAATATTTCATTAATAGCTGCACAGGAATATCTAGCAGGAGAACTGGGTGTAGCTCAGTGGTACAGTACTTGCCTAGCATGTGTGAGGCCCTGGGTTCCATCCCCAGAACTGAAAAGGAAAAAAAAAAATAATAATAGCTAACAGATATCCTAAAGAGCTTTTGCAAAGGTTCTCCTAAAATTATTTTTGCTTTATTATAAAATCAACAAAGGACCTCAGGATTACAGGGTATTTGAATAATAGCTTTGTCATTCATGAACTTTTCAATAAATTTTTGCATTTTTTTTCATTCAACAAACATGCCAGGTATTGTGGACATTGGGGAAGACAGGAAATCTGTTTTGATATTGAATAATCATCCTTTTGGGGGTGGATCTTCCAGTGCTGAACCAACACTGCCATCCCTATAATAAAACCAATTTCTACATAATGCCAGATCTGACTTCTAATAGTTTTGTTAAACAAATTTCTATGTTCATATTTTTTTTCTTCTATTATCTTTATCCAGTTTTAGGATTAGCACAATGTTGATTTCCTAAAATGAGGGGAGAA